ATTAACATCCATCGTTTAAATTAATGATGTTATGATGTATTCGATGGCAAGTGTATCAGGCTTGGCTTTGCTAACTGGAAATGCTATTATGTTCTTTAATCTATTAGATTTATTGTAGTCCTTATCTTATATTAAGTATATGCAATATCAATTTCCACCACATGTAACAGAATTTTTGAATACTTATACAAAAGTTTCATTACAACCTATCATGAATTATTTTTAAGTAGATCAATTATTGGCAAAGTTAAATGGCGGAACTCTTCCATATCAAATTAGTAATAAATCGCAAAAAAAAACACCTGTAAATTCTTTAAATTAAATTTATTTAATAAATGCAAAAAGTTGTTATTTTTCTGTCTTTGCATCCATAATCACTTATCTAATATATAATATATTAGTGTCTGAAACTGTATAAAGTTTAGTATCTAAACTCTAGATAAAGTATAGACAAAATTCTAAAATCCTAAAACTTATAAATTTTTTTTAAGAGAAGATTTAGAAAAAGTGCTTAAAGTTAAAATTTGAATATTTTTCTTTAGGAATATTTAAAGTTTATTAAGCAATTTTACATTAGCTTATTTTCAGTACATTATTATAATTTCCCAACTATAAATTTTAAACATTATTTGAAATTTTCAACAGCATTAATGCTATTTTTGGATTATTTTTTCTCATACTAGTAACTTTTAATTTATTTTCAATAACTTCTGCTGAAATAAAAGATTTAAGGAAATGGAAATATTTTTATTTTGAATCAAATACACAATTTTGGTAAGTTTAATTTAAATCCTTCTAAAATTTCAGAATATTGTTTTATATAATGATTATTGTTCAATTAATAAATTTTCCAGAAGCATAATCAATTTTGCTTTCTATGCTATCCTTCTTTTATATGATTTATTTAATCAAGTTTAAACCTTTATAATCTTAATATGAACTTTATAAATTAATTTGTAGAGAGTTTTTAGTTATGTTGATAACTGGAACATTCTTAATTTATAGTTTTGAATATAATTAAGATATTTATATGCTAATAGGTTGGATTCATATAGGTATGTTTTCTTTAATTTTGGCTTCTAATTTATTTATAGATATTTATGTATAAATTCAGAAAATCTACGATAGCTATTTGTAAAAGAAATTAAAAGATTAAATTGAATAGGAGAGAAAATATTATTATAATCATTTGCAAGGATTTGTATTAAATAATAGTGATTATTGCCAGCAAAATCGATGATTAATATTTTTGTTTCTATTTATTTTTAAATCACTAATTGATATATTCTACATTTATAATTAAAATAGAAAAAATAACATAATAAACAATGTTATATCAACATAATTCCATTTGAAATTCTTAATCAATTTAAAGTCAAACTAAGATTATGTATTTTTTTCTTTGATTTAAGTATTTATTTTCATAAACTATCTATTTCTAACATATTAAACTAAAATTCTAAGTATAATATCTCTTGATAAGTTTATATCTAATATGTTAAGTTTTTTATAATAATTATAAAAGAGATTCTCAATATATTTACACTTTTATAATTATATAATCCTAATCACATTCACAATTTGCTATTCTATTGAAACTGCTATGGGATACTGGAAAAAATATCTTATATCCTATATTCAGGGACAATTAGTCGATTTTGATTGTCAAAAGTATTATGATAAAAAGAAAACATAAACGTCCTTAAAAAAAATTAGAAATTAATTTAAATACTGTTTATATTATAATATATTTTGGATAGTTATTTTTTTAATCGATTAAAATAACTCTATCTTATGAATAAGATCTTGAGTACAATAACCAATTTTATTTAGTAATTAATATTTACATGGACAATTATTTTTTTCTGCAAAATTTTATCAAGATATATGAATACGAATTATTTCATACTCAAATATTGATATAATTGCATAATCAACTCTAAGGCGATTTATTATTTAGAAACTCCATCAATCAATTTAAGTTTGAAACGTTGAATTTATGATGAATTTTTTAACATTCTACCCTGAATATTACAATTAATTTGATGGTGACTGTCTACAATCCCCTTGTAATTGTTAATTTGATACTCAATCTCAAAATTTATGAATTCGTTAATTCAAAGCTCAATTTATTTTTTAAATCAATTTAGCTTTTCAAGTATATATTCTACTCTTAATAAAGGCATAAATTATGAAAATAAAATTGCAAAAAAATATTGCTTTTATAATTTGATTAGAAAAATCTCTTTCATAGTTTCTTTAGTAATCTTGGGTGAGAAACCCATCTTACAGACTACATTCTGCTGTATTTCTTTTTTTATTAATTTAAGCATTTTTGCTGTATGATATCCTTTTGATCCAAAGATTGGATTGAATAAATGGATTTTATTGAAATTTAATCGAAAATTTTAGAGGACTTAAGCAACTCTTTTATAAATATATAAAAGAGTTTTATTTTTGTAAATTATGAAATGTATCTGTAATTTTATTGATATCTCTTTAAAAATTTAGGATCAGTTGTTTATCAAATGAATTCTTAAGATTCTTAAATCAATATGCTTCTCAATTTTTTGAATGTTCAATAAGGTTGTTCTTCTATTCTTAAAATAATTAGTCAAGAATACTCCTCTAAAACCTACCTAAATTCAAATAATATATCAACTTGCAAATTTAGGCAAACTAAAGGGTGATTTCAATTTTCCTATTTTTGCCAAATTCTTGTTATAAATAAGCAGGTGAAGAAGATTTTAATAGTAGATGAATATATGAAAGTTAAAGATATTCATACCAGAAGTTAAAAGGAGTGATTCAAAGTTTGGCAAAATTTCTTATAAGAATTGAAACTAATTTGAAAAAGTAAGATTTAATGATCTTCTCATATTATTATTTTTGTAATGTGCTTTTTGTTCATAATCAAAAGATTTTAGATATTTATCATGTTTCATTTATTTTTCTATTGCCAATTTTACACTTTCTTTCTAATAAAAGCCTACTGATTTCTTTTTCAATAATTTCTAGAAAGTGTACTCTTTATGCCCTCAAATTTTATTTTGAAATACTTTTAAATATATTATCAATTCTTTGTATTCATTTAAAAAGGTGTATCTGACCATCATTAGCCCAACTAAAAATTATAGGCTCTATTAAAAAATTCATAGTTTATTATAATTTTGTTTTTTTGACTAGTATTAATTTTATATTTTACAAAATTAATTATTTTTTATTGGGTAAAATGTAGTGAAGGGCTCCTAGATAAAGAGCAATACTTTTTCGTGTTCATCAAACCCTATTGGCGATTTATATAAAAATTTTTATGAAGTAAATAATTATTTGGTGATTCATTATAATAATTATTAATTATTGTAGAATCATAAGTTATCATTTATTGTATTCCAATAAGAAAATGGTGATTTAAAAAGATAAAAGAAGTAGAAAGTAAGGCAAAAAACACTCAAAATTAGTTATATACAATAAGATATAAGAAAAAATAAATATCTATTGAATAGAGAAAAAATTTAATAAATGAAATGGATTTTATGAAAAATGGAGGGAAAATTATGAATTCTTAATGTGTAAGGAAACAAAGATGTATTTTTCTTGTTTTCAATTTTTTTATTTAGAAAAGTTATCAGCATTCTTAAATCATAAATAGATTAAAAATGAAGTAAAAGTTCAGGTTCTTTAGAATTTACAAAACTAATCCAATTATGATTATTCGATATTTAAGGGGAATTACTTTTATCTAAAGGGACTAAACAAAGATCCACCCCTGTGACCAGAATTGTTCAAAATATATATGTTTACCTAGGTTTATTAAGAATATAAAATCATTATAAAACTATTATATATAAGAATAATTTATTTTTGTAAGAGCATAAGAAAGCAGGAAAACTATTGAAAGAGTCAAGGATGATATATAATAAGAAATATATCAAGAAAAATGAGCAATTCTCAACATAAAAAGTAAATTAAATAGGAACACAATGTTAACTTTAATATCTTTAGATATGAACTTCTTGTGATAAAAAGTAACGTCTAAATACTTGATAAACTTAAAGGATATAGAAAATATGTATAAATTTTCAAAAAAAATAAGATGCTTGAAAAGAAAATAGAACTTCTAATCCAAAAACTTTGCATTTTTAATTTATAGATATTAAAAGGCAGGCATAAAAGAAAAATTTGGATGTTTATATTTAAGTATTTTAATCCTTAATAGGATTAATCCTTAATTTGTTACAAATTATAAATAAATTATTAAAGTATTAATCTTCAAAATTTATTGAATAAAATGTCGTAAAAATTAATGTATAATCATTAAATTAACCTATTGATCATAGTCATAATGTTTTCTTGCTTTTAATCATAAAAAAACATATTTTTGTTTTATTCGTATATAAATAATTATCAAATTGTCTATCTAAAAAGAGACACTAAAAATTGCTTCTTGATTTTATTAAGCAATTATAGAATTTAGTTTGATGCTTAATGATAAAAAATCTCTTTGGCATCCTTATAATTATAACTCATAAAATACAATGATACTCGTTTTCCAAAAGTAATTTTATCTTAACAACATGGATCATTTGAAATTTTAAAAGATTCTAACAAATGCCCCAACTCATTCTATATCTTTGAAATTGTTTAGTATAATATTTATACTCTACAAATTTTTTTCATAGAGTTGAATAGCCAATGATCAAAAATTTTTTAATTTGTTTCAAAATTAAAAAACACCTAATTCTTAAAAATAACTAAATTAAAAACATTTTCTTTCTTTCCTAAAAATCAAATATATGCAATGATAATTTAAAAATAAAATTTTTAAGATTCATCAAATCTTAAATTAGAATTTTAATTATTGTATATTTTCTGCAATCTTTGAATTTTTTTTAGAATGAGGTATTAATTTACAATTAAATTTATTTTGTGAATTCTATAGCAAAGACTAAAGTTTAAATCAAAGTTATCAATGATAAATCCTTGATTATTTAATTAATATGATATTTGTTATCTCATTTCTAGTTCATTTACTTAAAGTGAGAGCTTTTAAGATGAAAGAAATGGATTCCTTTCATTAGTTTTCATCAGAGAAAATTGATCTAACTTAAATTGGAGAATCGAATGAAATCTCATATGGGTATGGAATATGGTCTAAATATAATCCTCTGAGTAATATTTCTTAAGTTGGATCTATTGGTTTATTAGATAGTGATTGTTTTCACCTTCACAATGTAGTGGATTAAGAAACTGAGAGCTTGAACTTAATTTATTACGATTGCTTGGATTATCAATCTTAGAAAATATATAAGACTTTATAATTTATAGACAATGAAGGATAAAACCATTATTTTGAATTAAATATAGATAATTTTGAGTATGAAAATTTTTGGTTTTACTTTTAAATATAATAATGGCCGAGAATAAATAGATTTGAGTTAATGATGATATAATTAGATAAAACCACCTTGAAACAAAGTTTAAATATAAAATATCCATTTAATAATATTAAGATCATTTTGAATTTTGGTGGGGGATTGAAAGTACAATAATCGTTGATTTCATCAATAAAATAAGGAAACTTATATTCATACTTTCCAGGTAAAATGATATTGAAATAATTTGGAACTTCATAATTGTCACCCGATTTAGATTTTGAATTAATTGCACTTGAAGCGTTTGAGCCTTACAGATATTGTATATGTTAAAATTCTGAGATTTTTGAAATACCTAATGTTGATTTGAAATAATTGGATAAACTAATCTTTGTTTCAGATAATCTTAATTGTGATAGCTTTACTTTTTCTGGATGGTTCAAGATTACTGAGGTAGTATCATCATCAGATGAATTAATTTATCAATTAATCAAGTTAACTTCTAATTATGAAGGCTACTTATCCAATCCTCATTTATCCCCTTTTTAATTATATTTTAAACTTTCTCCTCTTGAAAACCAAATAATCATAACTTCTTACAGCTATATTTTTCCATAATTAAATGAAAATTTAGAAGAGCACCTGATTATAATCACATAAAAGTTTGATATTCAGAATTTAGTAAGTATTTGGCATTATGTAAATGTATAACTTATAAGGACAAACTTTGAAGTGTAGATAAAGTCTTACTAGAGTGATCAAGTAATTTAATTCTCAGCTTAAATTGATGTGAAGCAATTTAACAGTGTAAAATTCAAATTATAAAATGGAAATATTCAGTAAAATCAACATGATTATTTAAATGTTTAATCCAGAAATTTGGTCTTTTATAATTGTGAGTAAAAAGTTGATTAAAATTAATGCCATTACACTTGTTTAACTTGTGATGGACCAACATAATTTGATTGCATTTCTTGCTCAATAGAATCGTAAAGAATCTATCTAAAAGATTTTAAAGTTTGCATTTGTCCACATAACACTATTGATGAAAAAATCTGCAAAACTTATCAAAATATTGAATTAGTTTTAATTAATAACGAAAATGAAATTAAAAAAAATTGTTAATATGGATATTTTGAATTTTAAGGTGATTGTTTGAAATGGTAAATTGATTTAATATTATTATAGTCCTTCAATTTTAAGAAATAATCTAATCTCATGTTTAGAATGTTTATAAAACCCCTAAAATTGGAGCAAAAATTCACATTGCCTTGTTGAAATATACCTAAATGATGAAGGAGACACATAATAAATTATCCAAGATTTTGAATAGCAATATAGGTATGACGGAGAGAATTTGATTTAATGTTAGTTTTGCAGCTAATAATACTCTTTTGTTTTGAATGAACATTATTTGGAAGTAATTGAAGATGCTGCAACTACAAAATATCTGTGCAGAGATTATTCATTTAAATGCTTATATTGTTATTTTTCATTAGGAGGAATGATTTGTTAGGAATGTGAATACGGTTATACTTTGATTGATTAGAAATGTACAAAAAGTACTTTAGAAGATACTTTTTGCATTTTAGGAAATTACATGACATCAAGAAGATAATGTCAAAAATGTGAAATAGAAAAATGTAAATAATGTTTTGAATATCAGAATGATTTGACTAAATGCACTTTGTACAAAAATTTTGAGCCTTTCAATTCTGATGAAGAAATAAAGGTAGGTTGTGCTCTTTGCGAAGACAATTTTACCTTTGATTTCAATTTAGGATTATGTTTATAGAAGTAACCCTCAAATAAATTGTGTCTGAGATCCTTTTTTGATTTTACTGGAAATGAAATTTGCACTTTGGCTGGTAGTGATGACTTTAATATTGCTCCTCAAATTAGCAATTGTGAATAATACTTACCTCATTGTTTATAATGCTTAAGATTTCCTTAATTTATTATCAAATGCATTATTTGTTAAATTGGTTACACTGCCTCTGTCATTAATGGAGGTTGTTATTTAAGTAAAGAAAATGATACTTTTGCCAAAATTATGATTGAAGGGGATTTTCGATTAAAAGATGGATGGATTCAAACACTGCAAGCTTTTATGATGAAATTTTTACCAAATTCTTATTATTATCCTCATTCTGATGAATCTGAATTTACTGTAGAATTCCAAATTGACTGCATTGATGGATTTTCATTAAGTCAATTAAACTGGTGCCTAAAATCTTGCTCTTCTGAATGCCTCAAATGTGAAGAACTTCCTCCTGATGAATTTTTTTGTAAAAAGTGTCCTCTAAATTAATACTTTTAGCCAACAAGAAACCAGGATCAAGGAAAGTGTTTTGAATGTACACAATTATGTGAAGTATGCCAAACACGTTCAGCTGACGAAATTTATGTAATTAGTAATATAATCTTATCTAGAGTTTACAACCTACTTTTATTATTAAAGATGATAACTTAGTTTTTACAAAAAAATGTTTAAAGACTATTAAAGATCATAAAATTTATCTTGATCCATATGATTAAATAGCTAAGCATTGTCTAAATGATAATAATTGTATGCCTAAGTTGTTATATATATCTAACTATGATTATTGTGAAGAGATGATTTAATGGGAAAAAAATATTAACCTTAACTATTGCAATCAAATGGGAATAGATACAATAATTATTAGATTCAATTTTCGCGTCAATTTTGTAGCATCTTGTTTTATTGAGGAATTTTTAGTTTTTAACGAATTAAAATCAAAAATATTTTCTTTAAGAAATCTTTATTTTTAATTCTATTCTGAATAAATGATGTTTTTTAGAACTAATAATCCAATTAGATTAAATAATTTTGATAGATTTGAAATTAATAATATTACTTTATAAGAAAGTTACATTTCTAACTTTATTATGAAAAACAATAAAAATGCTGTTGATTTAAATTTATTCAATTTTTCAATTATTGAATGCTAATTTAACAATAATTAATCGATATTTTCTACTGATTTATTTGGAAATATTTAACTTTAACAAGTTGCCATAATTAATTCTACTATTCAAAATTCATCATTTCTAAATTTGGAAGATTTCCAAATTAATGGTAATATTTCAATCGAATAACTATTAATACGCAATTGCACCATAAGATAATCAAATTTATTTAAAATCCTCCTAAAACAAGGGAATATATTTATTGCGAATCTCTATTTGGAAGATTCAAATTTATTCGATTCTACCATTTTTTCTTTTAGATCAAACATTACAAGTAATATAAGTGTTAAATTTATAAATTTTCAGATTAACAGAAATAAATTTTATTAATCAAAGTTTTTGAATAGCTAATCCTCCTTAAATTACAATTTAATTGGCTTCCAATTTTATGAGAACTTTTTTTTAAATTCTAGTGCTTTCGATTTGAATTACAATTTCGGTTTTTTTAATTTTGTAATATTAAAAAATGAGTTTATAAACTCATCATTAATTTCTACTTCAGAAGCCTTAGTTGTATATCAAATATCACAGCAACTTAGCCTCTTTTAAGCTAAATTAAATACATTTACCAATTCGAATTTATGGAGAATTTAATCGAGTTTGGAAACTAGTAATTTGATATTAAGTTTAGATCATATTTTTTTTGAAGATTTGAATAGTTCAGATTAATCATATTTGTTCAAATTAAAATGTTTTCATCTTTTAATCAAAGATGTTTAAATTTAAAATTTAATCAATCTATTTATCATTTACATCTATTAAAGTAATTTAATTAAAATTCAGAATATTACATATGAAAATTTCTAAAATTCAATAAAAATTCCATTAATTTAAAATTGCTAGCTAATAACATAGCAATAAACTAAACTTTTAAAAATTACAGGTTTTTTTTCAATTTAAATCATTGGAGTCAGAATTTAGAATATATATAACCTTGATGAATCAATGATAGATATAAATTTCAATAATGAAGAATTAATTACTGGATAGATATTTGTATAAATACAAGATGTATCATTTATAAGGAATCTTGTGGTATTATTAAATAATATAGAATACACATCACTCTTAAAAATAAACTCTGATGAAAAAATAATTATTACGATAACAAATATTCAATATTTAGAAAGCATATTCCATTCTTTCATTGGTAATTCTTTTAATTCTTATGCTAGTTTGATATTTATGAATTGTAGAACTTGTATAGTTGAAATTTATAATTATGTCTCCAGATCTAATGTATTTACTAATTCATCCAACTCATTTGTATATATAAATTCGAAGATCATATATTTCGACAATTTTTATGTAGAAAATCATAATTATTTAACATAAAACTTATGGGAAAGATATTTTGACTTGCAATTAGATGAAAATTATAATTAGGATGAAATAAATTAAATAATTTAATAAACTTTATTTATAAAAACTATTGGAGGGGCAGCTTAATTAAAGACCTCTAATTTTACATGTTTTAATTGCAACTTTAAATTTTTATTAACATAAAAAAGTTCAGTTTTTGAAATAATTACAGAGTAAGATGGTATTATCGAACTTCTTGAATTATAAATATCCAAAGCTTTGAATGACTTGCAGTAACTTACTAACAATACAGGTTGTATAAGCATTTATTCTTAAAATAGTTTTTTAAATCTAAAAATAAAGAATTCTTATTTCTCACAAATCCTAAGCAGAATGGCTCCCTCATTTTTAACTATCATTCCTTCAAATATTCAAAATTCGATAATAATTTAAAATATCACAATGATGAATTGTTTATCTTTAATGAATTCAATTTTGAAAGCTTCATTTTCTTAAAAGACAGCATAATATAATTAAATAATCTTCACTAATATAACAATAATCTAAGATGAAAAGGATTGGATTAGTTATTTTTCTTAAGTTGAAGCATTAACTATTGATGAAATAGAAGAAATTATAAATGAAGAGAATGCTTTGATATTTTTTGAAAGCTGTTCAGTAAAAATTAAAGGGCTAAATATCTAAGGGTTGTATTTATTCCCAATATTAAAAATCTCAAATATTCTAAACTTTAAATTATAAAATTGTTTAATACAATAAATTCAACTATTTCATTCATTTTGTATTTTCAATGTTCAATCAACATTTTAAACAAATAATGTTTTCCTCATATAAGAATTAAGTATAAAAGATGTTAGTATTTACTAAGCTCTTTAGGAATAGAATATAATTTCAAAAATACTTGATGTAAGAAAAAATTGTTAATAAATCACAATATCAATAAATGAAAGATATTATGTATTTTTTAAAGTACAAAATTCTTTTTTAAATAAGACTAAAAACTATTCTTCATTAATTAGCATTCAGAGTTAATTAGCAAATAATATCTATATATTTAATCTAATTAAGATACTTAGAAATAATTGTACTTTTTGTACTAATGGTTTGATTTATGTTAATATCTAAAAGATTTAAAAGCTCAAAATTTATGATTTAAATTGTTTCTCTAACACAATACTAAATTACGGTTGCATAAATGTAATTCAATCATCATCATCAAGCAAGATTTAAGTAATTAATTCTAATTTTATAAATAACAGCGGTAACAAAGGTGTTGCAATTTCTTCTCAAGGAGCTAGTATTTTTTTATATTCTTGCTTAATTATTAATAATACTGCTAGTGAACAAGGTGGAGGTTTATATTTTGATTTGAAAAATAATAGCTTTATCATTAAATCATAATTTATAATAAATAATAATGCATTGATAGGAGGAGGAATATATTTGAATTAAAACTTAAACTTGAAAAGTGATAATTTTGTTGAGTCTATCTTAATGTTGAATTAAGCAAGAAATTTTGGAAGTAATCTTGTAGAAAGTCCAACAACTTTAGCCTTAAGTATCAACTATCACGAAATGATGTCTACCAAAAGTATTTTGAATGAACCCTAAATTAGTGTTCTAAAATTAAAACCCTACACAACAATAGAGCAAGAATAAAGAGTAAGAAGTGTGTATCTAAAAATACCCAGTAATTAAATTATTCAAGATTTTACTATTTTCATTCCTAAGCAATCCTCATCATTCAAATTATTCAATGATCTCAGTTTATATTTTAAGAATAGTTATAACGAACAGCTTTTTAATCAAGTTAATTCAACTTGTGATGTAATCTAACAAATTATAATGAAGAATGAAATATTAAATACTCAAAAAATTGGTGAATTAACATACAATACAAGCTTGAATAATTTCGATTTAAAATTGTTAAAGTTTCATTTTAATCCAAATATAATAAACTAAAGTCATTTATAAATAATAATTACTTGCCATATTTAAGGTCATTCTACATAATTATAGTACATTATCTAAGCAACCAGTTATAAATGTTAATTGGGAGAATTTTATGTTGATGATGGTTGCCAACTATGCTAATCTAGCTAAGGCTTTTATTCAGTTACTTACAATAATACAAAATGTTCAATATTTGATAAGTAAAAATTCTTAGCAATAACATCTAACTAATTAAATTTAAAAGAGGGATATTGGAGACCTCATTATTTATCTGACTATACAACTTAATGTTTTAAAAATTTGTTAAATTGTAAAGGTGGTTGGACAGTTGGTGACCAACTTTGCCTTAGAGGACATTTGGGAGCTATGTGTGAAGAGTGTGATATATATGATGTGAGAGGATAAGGAAAATACTTAAAAGGCTCAGAAAATTCTATATGTTGGCCATGTTTTGGGAACTCTGATAGTTTAGCTCCATTTATATTAAACTCACTTTGGTATTAATAGTTTAAATTTTAGGGCTATCTTATCAGTCTTTTTGACTTTAGATGGTATCAATAAATCAAATGATTTATTTGTTTTATTAAGGATAAAAGAAAGATAAAGTCAAATCGTTTTCAAGTTAACATAAGGTATGCTGCTTTATTTAAATTAGATTTTTAAAGCATTTTTATTAAAATGATGCTAAATTACTTTTGGATATTTTCCTTAATTTTTACTTTTAATATTAGTTTTTCTTTCTCTTTTAACTTTATAGATAGAGCAAGCAATACTTCTTAATCTATGGCAAATAATTTAGATTGTTATTTATCAGACTTATCAGTCACTCATCTACTATATTTGAAGATCTTTGTAATCCTTGTTTTAATATTTTGGCAATTTTTAATTATTCTTATTTTGTTTATCATTTATTGCTACTTTTATAAAGTCCATTTTTAAATGAGAATTGTTTCCAACATTTTACTCTGTCTGTACATTATAAATTATTCAGGCTTAATTAAATTGTAATTTTTCATTATTAATAAATCTTAGATTAGGCTCTATTATTTCTCTAAGAGAAATAGCGAATTAATATTATATCTAAGGAAATGTTTCATTAATATATAACACAGAAAGTCATTTTTGGTGGATGGTTTATGTTATAGTGCCGTTATTGGTGATTTTAGGTGGACTTATTCCTTTATCCTTATTCCTGTTGATAGTATTGAAGATTGAAAAAATGGATTAAAGCAAACTTAGAGGTCATATTCGTTATTTATTTAATGAATATGAAAAATAATGCTATTATTGGGAAGAAATTAAATTGTTAAAAAAAGCTATTTTGATATTAATTTTGACTTATTTTGAGACAAACATTTTTTTAAAGGCATCTTTCTTAGGACTTTGTTTATTGTGTTACGAATTGCTAACGGTAAAAAAAAAACCTTTTATAATATCCAAATTAAATCATTTAGATTTGTAAAGTGGGTAAATTTGCTCTATTGCTATATTTTTGGCCACCTTTAAATATGTTAGTGAGGAGTAGAATAATTACATGAGTTCTATCATCCTCCAATATATATTGATCTTTCTTTTTTTGATACTCTCTTATCCATTTTTTGATTTCCTTTTAAGATTTTACCATAAAAAATATAGAATCCCTTTTTTCACTTCTCTTGCAACCCTTATGAAAAAATTAAGGATGAAAACATCTTTAAGGACAGTTTCTGAGTTGCTGAAATAAGAAGAAGCTAAAAAAGCTAAATTAAAATTTTTGACATAAAAATTAAAAAAATATTTAATCAATGTATCTAAAGCTTAAATTTACAATAGACCGTAAATAATTTATTAAAATTATAGATCTATAAACAAAAAAAATTGTAAGTTAAGCCAATAGAATCTGATTACTGAACAAATAGAATAATCATTAAACATGTTTACTTAAAATAGAAGAGGTTTTTGATAAATCATCAAAAAAATTTGATATTTCATAAATAATAATATTCTTGAATATTTGATTTTTTAAAATATGAATTTTTCATTATGATCATAAAATTAATTTCATATGATCAATACAACTAGCATATTGTATTTATTTTACTAATTTTTCCAGCAATAGCTATGAGGAATTATAATAAATTCACACTCTAACTTTTTCTTTTATTTAAATGAATTCATTTTGTTCTGAAAGATAACTAACTTTACACTCTAATCTATCCTAATTATCAGAATTACTTTCCATAATTTCTAAAAAAACCATGAGACCTAAAGATTTGAGAATTTATCAAGAAAAAAAGAAATATAATAGCTTTATTATTTTTTAGAAAATCTGTATTCTTTATTTAAACAGACAAATTTCAATACTAAATATTAATGAATATTATATTTAGTAATATCAACAAATTTTTAATAAAAATAGGGGAATTTGATCTAATTATATTAATAATTATTAAAATGAATATTGAATTGATTGTTGTAAAATTAGAGAATAAAGTAAAAGAATATCTTGAGGAGATGTATTAATACATATATGTAAAATATTAAATTGCAATTTAATAATCAGTCTTCATTTAATAGAATTTACGATTATCTTGATTAAATTGCTCTTGCTCCTTATCCATCAGTTCCTTAAAAATGTGTTAAGAATATACCAGCATTTCCTTAAATAATATTAAATTCAATATAACCATTAGTTTATGAAGTAAATAAAGAAGTTAAACCTATATTCAATGTAATTATTCAATAATCATTTATATAGAATTAATTAAAGTAAATTTAAATTAACTACTAAAGAGATCAATTTAGAATTTATATTACAGGATTAAATAAAACAATAATTATTAATTAAATCTAAAACCATTCACCTTTAAATTAATCTAGAATCATTCTATTAGATAAAGTGAAAAGTATAGAACAATAACTGTGAATAAAGATAATTCTATTTTAATAGCTGCTTGTGATGAATATATAAAAAAATTTGAATTTAAATAAGATTAATTGAGACGAACTAAAATTCTAAGTGAACATAAGGATTCTGTTACTACTTTAAATTTCATGAACAAATCTAATCAATTTATATCTGAAAGTCTTGATAAATAGATTATAATATGGTCTACCAATCATAATAATTAATGGATTAGCTCATAGAAATTGAGAGGGCATACTGATTTTATTTTTTGTATAGTATTGAACAAGAATGAAGATCTTATCATATTAGGAAGTTGCGATAAGACAATTAAATCTTGGTATAAGTAGTAGTAATGGCTTTGTTCATAAACTATTATAGATCATACATATAGAGTATATGGGTTAATTTTGAATGAGGAAGAATAGATTGTTATCTTGTGGATATGATAATCTTAAATTTATAATAGAATAGTCATCATAAGATTATAAATAAAGTAATATAAAAGATAACAGTTAAATAGTTTGGTTATTGATTATACTTCATCAATGATAATTTATTCACAAGTTATCCTTATTATAAAGAGGCATGTATAGGAAATGAGTACTACTAATAAATAGTATTGAAAAAAAAAGATGTACTTGTGATTATAATGGATGAATTTTACTTTCCTTAATAATATATAAATTCAAAATGTTTACTTGTTAAAAAAATGGTTATAATGTTAATTTGATAAGGAACAACCAAAAAGGTGATTTTATAACATTATAATCTATTCATTTTGGAACTAATAATCTATTTGGATAGATGAGTAAAGATGGAGAGTATTTGATTCCTTGGGATGATAAATCAAACAAACTTAAATTAGAAAATATGATTACGATTGAACAAGAATCAATTATTATTCCAATCATTATCATTTTATTAATATTCTTTATCATAAATTCTTATTTTTATTTACATTTTTGTATCACATTTTGAAAACAATATGAGCAATGTTAGATAGAATATTATAGCTGCATCAAATAAAAATTGAAAAAAAATCAATTAAAATATATCCATGATCAGGAAAGTATTAAATCCTCAGTCTTTTTCTGTTTATAGATTTAAAATCTTCATACTATTAATTTAAAAAAATTCCTGGATTAAAATGCTATTAGATTAAAACCTTTCAAGTCTTAATCCCTTAAAATATAAACTTCTTAACAGGATTGTGATGAATTTATAAATGAAAATTAATTCCTAATCCTAAGATTAACCAATTGATATTGGCTGACGCAACGATGAACTGTAAGAAATGATTTTTTTAGAGATAAAATGTAAAAAGGCACAATATAGAATCAATTGTTAGAAACAGAAGACGAAAGAAGAAGGTTATTAATGAAATAGAATAAGACATTAAGCAGTTGAAATTTGATGCATCTAATGAAGATATAGGTGTTAAACCTTATTGGACCAATTTTAATTAGAGCTAAAGTTAAATAATAAGAGAAATCTGTGGATCTTTAGAGTAAGATTTTTATCATCTGAACCTTACTGCTCCAAAATAGAAGAAGGTTTTTGGTTTTTCCTTATTGGATCGGTTAAAGATCAGAAATCGTTCATAGAAGTAATGACACATTTTAGCTTTGCCTATTTATGTAGAGTTTTTTGTTGGCTGATCTTTGAATTCATCAACGATTTATACCTAAAAGCTTATTAAAATTTAAAGTTATTTTTAGGCATTCTTTAATTTTTTAACTTTAAATAAAAATATATAATTTACAATAAATCTTGCAAGTAAGAAATTGAATATTGTGATTTAAGATAATCTCTAAAAGTATTAAAATTATTTATTTTTCTTTTAATTTTTAAAAGGTCCTAGATTTCGACATCTTTTATGATTTTTTGATTTTACTCAAAAATATTAAGATTTTTGTTGTGCAATTTTCTTATATTTCTCTTCTAAAAAATTAAGATCTCCTTGATCCCAAAATTATGTATTTGCTTCGTGAAATTTACTTTGATACGTTTATATTATTATTTCAAAGATGGCAAGTCCTTAATTACTCTTAATTTAATTAGATTTAAGATTGTAAAGAAAAAGCATCAAATGATTCTTGAATGCTATCTTTATAAATCATATTAATTATTATTTATTGTATATTCATTCATCCTAATTTTTATGATATAGCTATATTGAGTATTCAATTTTAATTTTAATTAGACATCACATATTCAATTATTTAGTTTTAGTTCTAAAAGAATCAAATTTTTATTTCAAAATTAAAGGATAAGTTGGATGAGAAGTTTTTGGCAAAGTTTATTCATGATATTTACTTAACAAGGAAACATTCAGATATTGCCAATTATATATTTTGTAAAGATTTCATGAATATCTTAAAAATGAGAAGGGAAGAATATACTTCAAAGTGTGTGATAATCTTTTAGGGAATTTGCAAATAAAATAAGATCACTACCTATTTTTTCATTGAGCAATTAATATAAATAATAAATCAGCAGTTTTTTAACAATTAAAGATTCTTTTGATATAAATGAAAATACTGATTGAATATTATTTTATTTGATAATGAATAGTGAATTTGAAAATAGTTATTTCAGTTGGATTCGTTATAATTCTTTTATATTTTTAGTAATAGAATCAATAAAACAATATACTTTTCTAAAAATTATCTAGTTTTAAGCCTCAATTAAAAATTTGGACTGTCTTTAAATGAAAAATATAAAAAACTCTTGAAATTTTAGGATAGTTATTGAAAAGATTGTTACAATCAAAAATCAATCAATATTTGAACTTTTTTATATTTCAATTTCATAATTTTTATTTAATAGACATAGTTTATTCATATAATTCTTCAAAAACGAGTTTATTTAAATTACTTCTATAGAATGAATAGAAATTCACAAAAATTGTATTGTTTTATTATATTTTATAAAATCTAGTATCATAATTAGGTATTTAAAAAAATTAACAATCTTTTTAGGAAATTAAAGGAACGAATTACTACATAAATATTTGAAGTGGTATTAAAGGCGTATAGAAATAATGTAAATTTTAATTTTCCTTCAACTAGAAATTTTTTAAGAAGAATAATTAAATAATTTGATTTTTTAAGGCTAAGATTTGACTTCGCCAAATCTATAAATAGTATTGTGTAATAACTTCAAAATATTTTAATTATTTAATTTTAAACTTGTAATATTATGAAAATCGTATTATCAAGCACAAGAACTATTGTCGCTATATCTACTAGTCCAGGAGTCAAAATTAAATTGTTCTACTTGTATCTACATATACTAGATAAGGATTTTGTGTGCTTACAACAATAAGCATGTGTTATGATCATGTAATTGTTCATTCTCATAGGATATATTTAGTATTTTAAAAATTTGAAAAAATATACTAAAGAAAGAGATGAAAAAGTAGATATAAATTCAGATGATTCATTTTAATCATAGGATTCGGCCTCATAACTTCAAAATTTGAATAACAAAATCAAATCTTTAGTTTCTGAAAATCAGATTTAGAAAAATGATATATATTTATTATTTAAATTTTGTAGCATTTATAAATTTATAAATACAATTCCTAAACATTTATATATATAATTTTACCTTACCAAGGATTTTTATATAATTGCCTGCTTTTATGTAATATTTTGATAATAGAATTATTTATGATACATGAATAAACAACATGTTTTGACATCTACAATTAAAATATTACATTTTTTTATATGAAAATAGATTTTAACATTATAAAATGAATATGAATAGATTACTTTTAAATAATTCACCTTTTTTACAATTATGATTGAATAACTTTATGATATTATGTATTAATCTAACTAAAGAATAGAAAAGATAAATTTTCTAACTTAAAATTCAATAACACCACTTAATAATAGAAATAAAAATGTAAAATTGAGTTTTGTTAATCAATTAATTTCCTTTTCAGAATTTTATAAATTATTTAAATTTATTTTTATTGTATATATTATTATTATTATTATTATTCAACCCTGCTAGGGAGAAGAGAAAAAATAAATTATTTAAATCATATTATCTTTTCATATAAATTGTAGTTATTTACTTCTTCTATTCGATATTCTACACGCTCGTGCCATTTTTACTTTTCATTTGATTACAAGTCTTTTTATTAAATGTATTTAAATTCTATTTCAAATGACTATTTACTAAGTGTTTATATGTCGCTCTTTATTGATGTTATTTACAATTATATCCTCTTTTATTGAAGAGTTATTCATAATTTTTTAGCTTATTACTTAATTTTATTTTAAATTTACTGTTATTTACCATTTGATTTGATATATTACATTCTTACCATAAATTATATCTATCTTG